CACACTGTCTGGTGACAATACATAAGGTGAGGAAGGAAGAACATCTGGGAAAAGTCAGACTTGAGCCATGTTAAAAAAATCTTCAGATACTGATTTGTTCTGTCCATAGTGACTCGAGTTTAGTCACAAACTAGGTGTATAGTATGAGCATACACAGCTTTATTTCAGTGCAGCTGCTGTAACACGTGTTCATTGCAGAGCTGTGTCTGTTGTTCAGGTTACTGAGGGAGAGATTGGACCCTTCAGCTCCATCAAGCTCCCAGTTGTGTTTGCCCCAGCTGTGCCTGGAGACTCATGGGCAGAGTTTGTCATCACATTCGACAGCCCAGACTGCAAACCAGTGAGTGACTCTGTCCAACACTTGCTTCAAAACACTGCAGGAAACAGTTTAAAATCTGTGTTACGTGGTTTGATGGGAGTGACCTCTGTAAACCATGGCCCTTCCTTCTGATGCTTATTAAACCTGCTCATTCTCTTACCTTTCTCTGCCAGTAATGCTGATATTCCCATTTTATCAGACATCATATTGGGAAGCATCTCCTGTCCTGTAAACAATCATAGAGGTAGTCTCCCCTACTCCCGACCCACATAGTTTATTTACCTCCTGATTTATCAGAATTTGAGTTATTTGCCATGCAGCAGTGAAGCTGATGTGTGAAAGCTGGAAGAGATGACAACTTTAGTTGCCACTTCTGCATATTTTGATTCTAAGTTTTATTGGAAGCCAAATCCTGCTTGGAACAGTTCTCAGTAGCTTGCCAAAAAATAAAGACAAACTCCCAGAAGCTCAGCAGGCCTGTCCTGGCTCTCCCCACAGCCTGCAGAAGGAGCTGCAGATGCTTGCTGAGGCTCCTGTGAGCATCATCTCTTCCAGGATCATCTCATCCAGGTCTGAGCTCTGTGGGCACTGCTGGCAGGCTCGGGTCACTGCAGGAAGCACAGCTCTGTGCTGCCTTTCCTGTATTTCCCTGCTGGCTGAGCAAGCTGCAGTCCCAGCAGTTCCTGGATTGGGGCCCATTCGCTTCAGCTAGATGCACTTTCAGTACTTCTTTCCAGTATCACAGGCAGATGCTCTTCCTTCATGCTCTCTGTCAGAGAGTCCAAACCACAGCACAATGCTTTATTTCTGCTGGGACAGCCTAACCCCTCAGGTTTCCTGCCCAAATAACCTTCCCAGCTCTGCCTGGTTAAAGAACCTGTTGCAATATGAACAATAGAACATTTAACTCAGCTGTAGTTTGGAGCAGAAGTTCCTGCTCTGTGTAGGTCAGTCAGAATCTGAGACCAACAGAACTAACCTCCTGCTCTGTACATTCCCAGCTGTGCTTCAGTGCCACTGGAGTCTCTGTGGCTGTGCCCATCTGGGTGTCCAAGCCCAGTGTGGATCTGAGGATCTGCCTGTACGACAGGCTGTACCAGGACTGCGTGGTGGTACACAGCAGGTGAGCTTCCCTCTGGGATGGCCTTTCCCTTCACATCCCAGGGGGACATCCATACAAGTTCCATGCTGTGTGGAGATTGGACTTTGCTCTCCTGCTATCCCAGACTCCCAAGACCAGCCACAGCTGTGAAGTATCCAGGTTATACACACCTTCCTGCTCCTACAGGATTCCCTGTCTTGTTTCTGTTCCATGAAGTCCCCAGGGAATGGCAACACCACACATTCATCATGTGGAATTTGCACACATCAGGGAGATAAATGTATCTAGAATCAAGTGCATTTTGGGTATAATTATAGAATCACAGAATCAATTAGGTTGGAAAAGACCTCTGAGATCGAGTCCAACCTGGAATTGATTCAGTCAGGAAATTTTGTGAAGGAATATTTGGTTGTTTGTCAGCTATTTTACCTTTAATTAAAGTCCCTGGAATCCTTCTGACCTGGAAGTAGCTTCACGCCAGCTGTGCTGTGCTGACAGTCTTTCCAGAGTTGGGATGTGATCCTGGATACATCATGTCAGTCCTTTGGCATTTACTATGGAAGGGGAAGGCTGTGGGTTGTCCTGACCCACACAGACCTTCAGCACTGCCCTGGAGTGACAGACATCTCTGATCACACAGACAGTGACCAAATAGTGATTGACAGGGGAAAAACACCTCTGTGTTCCTGAGTACAAGTCAGTCTCATCTGAGAACTAGTTCTGTTTGCACAGTGATATACAGAGAATATTCCAGCTCCTTGGCTCCCAGAGATTTCCTGCTGTTAGAGAGTAGTTACATGAGCATTTAATTGTCTTCAGGTGCTGAGTGTCTTCCCTCTACCTAATGCAGTCACTATGGAAAGCTTATTTAACAATTTGCATTTCTTAGAGTCTATTTCAATAGGATTGGGGTGGGTTTGTGGGAGGGTGGGGGAGCTTGGTTCTGTGCAAGGCATCCTTTCTAAACCTCTTACCAGAATTACAGACTGCAGAGATTCTTCACAGTTGGAAAGAAATGAGTAAAGCTGTTATCTCAGAAATTCAGCTTACAGATATGACAAGCACAAGTTGTTATGTAAGTGATTTCACTTGTTCTAGATAACCCAAGGATAAAACCTACAAGTATAGAAGCAGAATAACTCTCCTAATAAAACTTCAGATTTCAAGGGGATCCCAAAGATAGAAACTGTCAAATTGCTTAGGGCAAAACTTCTTAACTGAGGGAAAAATCCTGCTGATCCTGTGCCAAGTTGCACTAAATTAAGAGCATTTAATATGTAGTATCCTGTCCTTAGCACCTTGGCAAGTCAAGGCTTTGATTTATCACCCAGTTCTCCATAGTTAGGAGACGTTGTGTGTTACACAGTTATTTGGGCTGAAATTCAGTCTATTTCAGTGCAGGAATACCATGTGCTAACTTCTTATCCTGCAGGAGTGGATAGGATTCATCATTCTGCTGTGGCCTGGGAAGTTTCTCTCTCTAGTAGCTATGGGCTACTCCTGTGGGGTGCGCCAGGAGGAGGAGGATTCCTCCCTGAGCCTGTATCCTGCTGCTGCTGCAGCCTGTGACGTTGTGGTCTGTAGTATCAGAGGAAGATGAAGTTTTCCAGTGAGTCAGCTCTGGCACTGGAGTGTCCCAGCAAGCTCTGCTGAATGGCAAAAGATTTGTTAATGATGGTTTTGTTTTGGGTTCTTCTCTGGCCACGCAGACTCTGGCAGTCAGGCAGCAGAAAGGGTGAAAGTGTCCTGTCAGAATCCTGACCAGCATAAATCACATTGGGAAGTAATTTCTTTGGCAGGTTATAATCTGCACTGATTTAATGAAGTAGTATATAATTCTCTTAGATTGTCAACAGTCAGAAATCATCACAGGCTCCCAGTCCCACATGCTGGAGCTGTTGATTTAGAGCAGACCATCTGGCCTGACAGCTTGGAAACCAGTCCAGGAGAGGGAGAGTGACAAGCTGAAATATTTGCTCATTGCTCGGCAGTTCTGCACTTGGGCACAGAGTTCCAGAGCAGGGGATGGTCCATGGCTAGTGCTGAGCTGTGATAGGGCCAGAATTCAGCAAACAGGGAGAGGCTTCCCAGCTTCCAGTATGCCATTCCCAGGGCAAACTGAT